GCCTTGGAGGAAACAAGGTGGGCCAACACTTCATGCTGTGTAGGAGAAGGGTGGAGCAAGGCCATAGAGGAAGTGTGAGTAGGGTATCTTGGAAGCCAAGAAAAGAAAGGGCTCGAAGGACAGTGAGTGGTCACCAGGGACTAGTGTGTAGTTGCATTTCATTTGTATTTTAATAAAGTTTGTCTGAAGATCAGAGAGTAAAACAGCCTCACTGGTCAGCCTTGCAGACCAGGCAGTGGTGACACACACCTTTAATCCCAGTAGCCACACTAGTTGCCATAGAAACCAGGCAGTACATCCCTTTAATCCCAGGGTGCACACCTTTAATCCCAGAACTAGAAATAATTGTAAGACAGAAGGAGACAGCTAGCTCTCAGACACAGTCCCATTCTGAGGTTCCTGGAGGTAGGATCACCATTTCTGACTGAGGTCGAGGTAAGAGTCAGTGGCTGTCTGTTTCACTTTTTAGATATTCAGGTTGAATCCCAATATTAATCATGTATCACTAGTGTTACTAGGAGACCACACAGATGAGATGTCCCTTGGATGTAGTTGAGGTACTGTGCCCGCAAGGAACTAAAGAGAGAATTGTTGCCATGGGGTGGGATTGGAAGGTGGCTTTGCTAAACCAAAGAATAAGCCACTGAACCTGGTTGGCTAGATAGCTGTGGTAACTGGCCTGGCTGGGGCTAATGTCTATGGAGGGGTGAAGCGGTCTGAACCCTTGGGAGCTCCCACTAGCGAAGCAGATGAGTGAGCAGCTTGGGGCTTTGTGTTCCACCCAATACCTCAACTATAAATCTGCCTACTGGAAGAGCAATAAAGCCAAAGAAGACAGAAGAAGTTTCAGATAAGGACCCCAGAATCTCCACCCTGATCTGAGATGGGCCAACACAGACAGGCAGAACTCAGTAAGTCAAGCTGGATGACTAGACTCAGGACATCAGAAAGCAGGGTAAAAATGCTTGGAGTAAGAAGTTATATATACATATATGTGTGTGTGTGTGTGTGTGTGTGTGTGTGTGTGTGTGTGTGTGTGT